GAAATTTCAAATATCACTTTTACACTGATAACTGGTGAAAATGCACATCTTAAAGTGGCTATACACCCCAGGATTTCTCTCATAGCTGAGGCAGGAACTGCCATACAGGTGGCCATACAGGAGCAATCCTGTACTATGATGGGGGTGATGCCCTGTGGGGGTAATTTTTACACATGGGAGACAGTAGCCTCAATTATTTATTTTCCCTTCTTTCTTTCCCCCATGCACTTTTAGGAGACACAGCCATTGCAAAGGGTCTCTCTGAAAACAGCTCTGGTCTTTTGGGTTACATACTGGGTTGTGTTTGTTCTTCCATCTCTTTCTCATTCCTTTTTTCCTTCTGTACTACTTCCCTAAAATTAACAACCCCCTCCCCCACAAAACGTGTTATTATATGAATTTTTGCTTCAGGCTCTGTTTTCTAACCTGGGCTAAAAGAGAAAATTTGGATCATCTGAATCGTCATGAATGACCATGCTATAAATGGATTTTGGCTCTAGTGCACAAAGTGGTGTTTGTATAGAAATAAATTTGATTTTCTCAGATAATTAGGAAAGTAAAGAGGCAAATGTGATATAGAAATGAAATATTTATTAAACCAAGGTAAGGGCAATGGACCTCATCAACAAGCTATAGGAAAACATTCCAGGAGCTTGAATATGGAAAGGGATCCCAATAAGTGAATAACACACAATAATAGAGACTTAACTCAAAAGAACCTGCATTGTAGCAGTCATGTCCACACGAAGATTTAGTTTCATTAAAACACCACCATTCATTTTATTAATGTAATATTAATTTAAACTTTATTGGTATTGTAGTTTGTTTTAGAGATATTATAACCTTCAGGTGTTTAAATTGAACCTAGTTTGGATTTGGATACATTTTAGAACATTATAACAAAAGTAAATAAGTCAGCATTTGTGGGGTGTCCTTGCTTTTCTTTTAAAAGAGGTTCATTATTTTCTAAAGTTTGTGAAACTACTTTTTCATAATTTTTCCCTACTAGATACCTGTTATCTCAGGATTCCCCTTGCTAGGTTATCTCTGTCTGGATTGCCAGTGGGAGACAGTTTAGAGCTGCTTTACAGGCACTCTGGGAATCCATTTTAGTGGATCCCTTGGCTTAAATTATCCTTTGGGGCTCCCACAGGCTACCGGCAGTAGATGTTTCCGAATTTAGTTTGTGTATTTTCCTTTAGCGAGCTCCAGGCTCACTGGCTTCCCAAAGCTCAAAATCGCGGGGTTCCGCCCTTAGGCTTATTTCCCCCTTTACAAACTCATACCCGCGCAGATCCCGCTCCCTCCCTCCGCGGCCACCCCTTCACCCGCGTCTCCCTTCTCTAAAGCGGTTTCTCAGCCTTGCCTGAGTCTATTTGTTTAAAATACAGACTTTCAGATTGATTTTCTGGAAATTCTAGATGTCTAGAGATAAGGCTCAGGGGACTTCATTTTAACCAGTAACCCAGGAAGGTCTTACTTACTGGCAGACAAGTTTGAGAAACGTGGCTTTATGGTTTCTTCAGCCCCCAGACTTCTTCCCTGAAGGCACCTCTCCCCTTGCGGGAGGAACTGAGTCTGGAAGTCAGGTTTGTAAATTTCCTCAGTGCCTCGTTCCTCTGCAGCCTTGGTGCGGTTGCCAGGCGACCCAACGCTCTTGCTAGGGCAATGGCTTCCGGGAAATCTCGCGCGAGGTGTCTGGAAGCGTCAGGTCTGGCGCTGGTCCTTGTGACACTGGTCCCTCTCTGTGACGTGGCGGCCAGAGTTTGATGGCGACTAGATGGGGTCTGAGTGAAGCTAGTTTGGTGAGGTCGTGAGGCATCGGTCATGTTAGCGGTTTAGTGAACCAAACAGTAGCCAGAACAATTTTTTGCAGGCCACAATTTCCCCTTCTTACTAGATGATCCTTCTATCAGCTTTAAACGTTTCAGTGCCCAATAACCACCTTTTCCCAGCAACAGACCAAAGTATAGCGCATACTCCACCCTTTCCTCAGGAAAGGAAAAAAAAAAGTCTTTAGGGTGACATTCTACTTCGTTCATCATGACCAGCTTCGCTGCTTGCTTCTTGCCCTCTATTCTCCAGTATTCTGACACTTGGCCCAATATGCCCTGTTTTAAAAGAAATTTCCCTTCGTCTCATAGCTTTTCAAAGCAGCAATAGGACACACTTTATTTCCTCCTTAATTCTTATTTTCCCTTTTGAGTTCCATGGACGCAGCTTGGAACTAGCACATCCTTTCTGAAGCTTTCCTATGTACTCAATCTTGTTAAGTGTTTCTCTTTTCCGTCCCCCCTCGCCCCCGAATAGGATATATTAAATTCTTTAACATAGCATTTAACATGTTAGTATATATTTGTTACCTATTAATTGTATCCAATAAGCTGGTAAATTCTTTGAGGGCAAGGATTAGGTCTTTAACTTCACTATTTCCAGGACTTGGCAAAAAGTGCCTTGTACATTAGCAGTCACTCTATAAATGTTTGTAAAATGAATAATTTATAAGAGAAAGGGAAGAATAGAACAAGGAACTGACATTTACAGTGGATAGACTGGGAGTCATTAGGGATATGGTAAATTGAGCAGTCTGGATGTAAGAAACAGTGCAAGCCAGAAAACAGTAACACTTGTGATATTGGTGGGATGGGGGTAGAGGTATGGGTGGTATAGGTGTGGGGAAAGGTGGAAAGTTGTTATTGCTGTTCCTTGAGCAAAGAAGCATCAGAGTAGAAGACTGTTACAGTTGCAAGGCAACTTAGTGCCCATGTGTACTGTCCAACTTGTCATGTTGCAGATAAGGAGATTCCCAGGCCTAGAGGGGGAAAGAAATATGCTACAGGTCACATCTGAGGTGACAGAGAGGGGATTTACCCTTGGGCTCCTGATTTCACCCTAACCCTAACCCTAACCCTAACCCTAACCCTAACCCTAACCCT